TAAATCTTCCATGGAGGCTCTCAGAACAGTGAATTTCTTTTTTTTTGCAACCATACCAACTTCATACGAAAACTGTTACTATCATAATGTATAGATTTAGTAAGGCGAAGCTCCAGTTAATATACTTATAAACCAAAAAAAAGAAAATGGTGTAATGCTTAAGGTACGGAAAAACGGGCAACAAAAAACGTGCAACTTGTCTTGCAACATTGCTGCAAAACGAGTTGAATAGCGATGCTGCGCGTTTTACCACCCATGTTCAAACCTCTTAACAACCAGATTTGTTGCAAGACAGGTTTGAGGTGGGTGGTAAAACGCGCAACATCGCTATTCAACTCGTTTTGCGGCATTGTTGCAAGACAAGTTGCACGTTTTTTGTTGCCTGTTTTTCCGTACCTTAAGGTGATCTTAGACGAGACGATTCGCAGCGACGATTTTTAGCACAACACAGCGTGGCAACATCGTTGCGATGTTGTTTCGAATTGTTACAACATTGTTCCAACCTTGCAACACTGTGTTGCGCTAAAAATCGTCGTTGCGAATCGTCTCGTGTAACACCACCTTTAAGGGCGACGGCAATGAGAACAGCATCAAAATCAACAGATCTAATTAGCAAAAAATACAAATTTGCACGTGCAGCACACTTTTTTGTACATTTCTTTGCGGTTGTTTTGCACGACTAAAACGTGAAACTTCTTTGTTACACATCATTTTATCGAGGAATTGTCGTATGTGATCACCAAAAATTTGTTGCTTGTGCTCCTGTTCGCTTTGTTTTCACTGCCGCTCATTTTTCACCTTGCTGGCCGCCAGTATTTCTCATTTTCTCACCGTCGCTATGAAATTTTCATGTTTTTCTTCGTCGCGCGTTCCTGCCCCAGGAACGCGTGGACGAACCCCTAAGAACGTGTGCGTTGGAGGCTAGGTGGTCATGTGATTTCCTGTTAAATAAAACCCTGAGTTGCATTTCGGTTGCCATACCTGTTGATTGAGTTATTTTACATTGGTGTACCTGTGTTGCGGACGGACGGGCGGGCGGACAAACGGTCACGTTACTAATTAGTCAAAACATTAAAAAAATTTTTTTTCCCTGATAGGGCCTTGAGCTCTTTAAGAAAGCGCAAGGAATTTACAGCGGTGGGAGTCTAAAAATGCTAGATAGTACTGCACTGTTTAGTGTTTCACAGTCCAGAATATCTCTAAATTTAAGGACAGGGCCAACTGGTCACGCAACACTTTTCAACCAATGAGAAGGCGCACTTGTGTTAATCAAAACATCGCCCCAGTGATGAAAAATTTTCACAACAGCGGACGGAGTCGCACAGATTTTAAGGTGAGTTTACAGTACTCGTCTAGGTTTCACATTTAATATTTCAAAGAAAACATTCCATGTAAGAGAATAAGAGTATTATTCATTGCAAGGAGTCATTGGGGTGTTCGAACTGATTCCGGACCGATCGCACAGGTCGTGGCTTCACTGGCATGGCTTGCAAGATTTTCGATAGAAGCAAACTGGTCGCGTGTAAAAATAGCCGTACAGAGAGTGTGAAAATTTGTTGACATCGTACAAAACAGGATTGGTACCACCTATTAACTTCTACATGACAAGAATCAGAGAATCAGTGATCATAACAAGAATAAAAAGTAGTTCAAATTTACTAATTTTTCTAGTTTGTTTTTTGGCGTTGTTTCGTGTTGACTTTACGCATCTGGTGCTTTTTTGGCTTGCCGGTCGTACCTGCAATGTTTAAATTTTATCCCAGATAATCAGTGCATGTTCAATGAGTATAGGGAAATACATCATTTACAGTTGAAATTTGCCTTCTTTCTTTGATTTTTTTAAAACTGTGAATGAACATTTGGAGAATCCAACAACAATAAATCTCTCCAGATTTGGTGAATTTCAGAAACAAAGCGGTTAGTATCTATCTTGCGCTTATGATCTTCAATTTTATCCTCTCAAATTCGCCAAAGTGAGTCGAGATGTTGGACGTGAATATCCATAAGACTGATAAAATTGTTTTGACCTTGAAAAGGAAAAAGGTAAAGGCTCGTACTAATGCGAAAAAAAGTAATAACACGGCTTTGTGAGAAACCCGGGAGTGGAAAACGTACCTGTTTTGGACCTCGAGATTCAAAAATTGTCTACCAAAATTCTAGGATGTCTACGATCCCCACACTTTCAACATGATAAAAGTTTATCGATATGACAATCGAGGAAAAAGTCTGTGAATCGAAAAAATAATAGATACTTGTTCACCTATCTTGAAAACCGACGAAAATCTCGCCTACATCGCGTGTTTAAAAGTAGAAATAGGCCACAAAATGTGCTGAATATTTCACGAGACACTTCCAATATGGCAATACTTAAATTTAGGGATATTCCGGACTGTTTAAACATTATATAAAAGATGCTGAAAAAAAAAAAAGAAAAAGAAAAACAGCTAGAACAGTTTTGATGTTTACTGTTCAACCGCCAAGTTAAAGCTGGAATCCTTCGTGGAAAAGGTTTCTTGTGAGTCATTTGGCGGTGCCTTAACTAAACACAGTTTATCTTTGAAACCATATAATAAGTCTGGTTTATTAATAAAATCGTAGTGATTAGAAATAAGCGAATTACGAAATTATTTTACAAAGATATAGATATTAAAAATTAATTTAAGCTAATTACTTGATCGTGTTCGAAATGGACTGGGCCTTACAATTTTGAGAAGATATAATACAATAAATTAGATAAAAACGAGAAACTAGAAATATATATCAAGTTATACATTAAATTCCAATAAGTTCCTAAATTTCATGCCATGAGCATAAAGGCAAATCGCCGGAAAAAAGCTTCCTGCGACCGAGTCGGTGGAACAAGATGGCGAAGACGGGACTCGTGCTCTTTTATCTTTGTGAATAATTTGCTACACAATCTCATTCTTCTTGTGTGAAGTGATACACACCCGGTAGTAGCTAAGGCCTCTTGGTAGTGCAGCGCAGGAAAGATGATGCGCAGCGCCCGTTTCTGCACTCGCTCGATCCTATCTGATAGTTTGACGGGGAGGGCATTATGCCACACAGGACAACAGTATTCAAGGACAGACCTAATGAGCGCAAAATAAACCTTAAGTAGGTCGGCAGGTGGTACTCCGCCGCGTTTGAGGACACGTAGAATATGCAGCCTCTTTGACGCCTTAGCCACAACCTCATTAATGTGCAAATCCCATTTGAGATTACTTTGGATTGTAACGCCCAATTCTTTATGAGCATCGACTGACTCAAGGGCCTTAGTGTCTATGGCCAAGGCTGATGGGAGATGGTCCACTACTCTACGAAAACGCAAAGTCATCTCCCTGCGCTTTTTGGGGTTAAGAACCATATTGTTTATGGCAGCCCAAGTGCTGATGTTGTCAAGTTCAGATTGCAACTTCTGATATAATGATGTCATCTAGTACATACTTTCAGTATGAGCAATATTTTCCTCATTGCAATTTATTCAGACTTTGTCTCTGTCTTTGGCCTCATTTCCCGACAATTCTTCTTAACCGGCTATTGCTGATCAAAATTTAGAAGAAGTTTGCGTAATTCGGACGTCAATAGTACTGCAATTTCCCGAAAAAGAGATGGCATAAGAAGCCCCAGGGACGAGGCTGCGTAAGCTCAGTTGTTTTGTAAATAGTTAAAGGAAATGGCGGACAATTTAACACATAGTCGAACTAACAACATAGCAACTACTATTTTTGGAATATTACGCTAAACTAAACATTCCTTTATATCCTGAATTTCCCGAGCATATGTTCTGAAGTATGAATTGTTTTGAATGAACGATGAAACAATTAATATTGGATTCGGCTTTCTCATACGGGCCTCTTATGATCTGAAGATTTATGCAGATCTCGGAGGATGTTATTTGCTAAGGCCGAAGCCATAATTCTTGACATCATGTTCAACCACATCTTATAGCTGTTAATTTTTGAGGTGATTATCTGTTGGTTTGCACTCATGATAACAAATAGTCAGGTGATTCTCTCAAAGTTCTTATTTCCCCAATGCACGGTTTTGAGAGTTCTTCCTTTTGAGCAGGATATTTGTTTCATTTTCTTTCCTTTCAGAGCAATTGTCACCAGGGCTGGTTATTGATTGCTCGGTTCTCCAATAATGACGGCAAAAATTGGATGAAAGACAGTGGGGACTGGTGGTATGACCGACAGTATGCTATTGGAGCAACAACTCACCCGTCAGTTAACGCTGACATGATCTCGGCTGCCTTTTGGCGGTTCAAAGGCAGAGAGTTCAAGATCACACGTAGTGATGACTCCAGTCACAGGCCACTGTTGGAGACCACAGGGAACTGTTTGGGTGGACAAACATTTCGTTCAAAAATCACAAGTTATGGCGGCTTTAGAAATGGCACGGTTTGGTCCATTGACAGGTGCCTGGGAAGCTGCACGGTTCAATATGGCGGACAGTACAAGACAACAGACGGGTTTCAACAGGCTGAGTGTAGTAGCGACATCCAAAGCAGCAACAAGATTGGCTTCTGGTGTGACTGGGAAAATGGT